GTTTAGATCAGGGGTCGGCAACCTTTCAGAAGTGGTGTGCCGAGTCTTCATTTATTCACTCTAATTTAAGGTTTCGCGTGCCGGTAATACATTTTAACATAGAAGGTCTCTTTCTATAAGTCTATATTATATAACTAAACTATTGTATGTAAAGTAAACAAGGTTTTCAAAATGTTTAAGAAGCGTCATTTAAAATTAAATTAAAATGCTGATCTTATGCCACCAGCCTGCTCAGCTCACTGCCAGCCTGGGGTTCTGTTCACCTAGTCCAGCAGCGGGCTGAGCAGGGCCTATGGCCGCGACCCTAGACCTCGGGGGGGGGGGGGAGGGGTCAGGTCAGAGGGCTGTGGGCTGTGGGGGGTGCAGGGCAGAAGGCCAGGTGTGTGTTGGGGTGGGGTTCAGGGCAGAGGGCTGGGGTGTGTGGGGGATGCAGGGCAGAAGGCTGGGGTGCTTGGCTCGTGGGGGTGCTCCCAGCCCCCTGCCCTGAGTGCCACTCAGGGCAGGGGGCTGGAAGGGATATGCCCTGTTCCACCCCCTTCCCCCAGGCTCCATTCCTACCTCTCTCTGCATCCTCTACGGAGCTGTGTGCACGCTGCCACTCTTCCCCCTCGCTAGGGCCATCAGCTGATTGGCGCAGGGATGGAGAGGAGGAGGGCAGGAAAGCACCATGCTCGGGGAAGAAGCGGGGGAGGGGGAAGCTTGGCTGCTGCAGAACCAAGCTTCTGCCTCCTGCCCCCGCAGGGGAGAGCAGTCGGCGGGGGGGCTAAGTGGGGCTGGGGGTCGGGACTGCGGCAGGGAGCTGCGTGCCACTCAAAATCGGCTCACGTGCCGTGTTTGGCACTCGTGCCGTAGGTTGCCGACCCCTGGTTTAGATATTGGGCCATGCCTAAATTATCCTTAACCTCCACTCCATCCTCAGTGTTTAGCAGTCCCACTTCTTCTTTCTTTGTTTTCTTCTTATTTATATGGCTATAGAACTTTTTACTATTGGTTTTAATTCCCTATGCAAGGTCCAACTCTACATGGCTTTTGGCCTTTCTCACTTTTCCCCTACATGTTCTGACCTCAATAAGGTAGCTTTTCTTGCTAATCACTCCTATCTTCCACTCCTTGTAGGCTTTCTGCTTTTTCTTAATCACCTCTCTGAGATGCTTGCTCATCCAGCTTGGTCTACAACTCCTGCCTATGAATTTTCTCCCCTTTCTTGGGATGCAGGCTTCTGATAGTTTCTGCAACTTTGACTTGAAGTAATTCCAGGCCTCCTCCACCTTTAGATCCACAAGTTCTTCAGTCCAATCCACTTCTCTAACTAATTTCCTTAATTTTTTTAAGTTAGCCCTTTCTATTTTTGTTTATCCTTCCATTTAGTTTGAACTGAATTAACTCATGATTGCTTGAACCAAGGTTGTCCCCTACAACCATTTCTTCTATGAGGTCTTCACTACTCACCAAAACCAAATCTGAAATGGCATCTCCTCTTCTTGGTTCAGCAACTACTTGGTGAAGGAATCCATCAGCTATCGCATCCAGGAAAATCTGAGCCCTATTATTATTACTAGCATATGTCCTCCAGTCTATAGCTGAGAAGTTAGTCTCCCATGATCACACAATTCTCATTAGTATTTACTTCATTAAAAAACATTAAAGAGGTCTCTATCCATATCCAAATCAGATCCCGGTGGTCTATAGCACACCCCAACCACTATCCCAGGGGAGGCTCTAAGATTTCTTCCCCAATGTGATTTTTGCCCAGACAGACTCAGTCTTATCCATTCCATCCCTTCTTATTTCTTTACAGTCCATCTCATCATTGATATACAATGCTACTCCACTATCTCTGCCTTTATTTCTGTCTTTCCTAAACAGCACATACCCTTCAGTACCTGTACTCCAGTCATGACTACTATTCCACCTTGTTTCTGTTATCCTTATAATATCTGGTTTCACTTCCTGCACCAATAACTCTAGCTTCTCAATTTTGTTACCTACGCTTGCATTGGTGTACAAACATCTTAATTTTTGCTGTTTGGCTTCGCTCACATTCTTTACCCGATTAGGCACTGACATTTTACCACCAGTATCACATATTAGACTGGTATCTACACTACCCTTCCTCCTTAAGGGCATTCTCCTACCCACAGTTGTATCCTTTCTTACTTCGTTTTCTTCCCTCACAATGTTAAAATCTGGCGTGGAGATTACCTGGACATGTCCCCCAAATTCCTAGTTTAAAGCTCTCTTAATCAGTTGTGCCAGCCTCTATCCTAAAAGTCTATTTCCCTCCCTACTCAGGTGAAGTCCATCCCGAGAGAACAGTCCTCTGTCCATGAATGCCTCCCAGTGGCCATACATCCCAAAGCCCTCCTTATAGCACCACTGCCTGAGCCATCTGTTGATCATCATAATCTTGTCACACCTTTGTTGCCCTGCTCTAGAAACGGGCAGAATCCCACTGAAGATCACATGAGCCTTGATTTCCTTAAGCCTCTTTCCCAGCCTGGCATAGTCTCCCTTGATACGTTCCAGCGAGAATCTAGCCGTATCATTTCTTCCCACATGAAGCTCAATCAGTGGATTCTTTCCCGCTCCTGTTAGGATCCTCTTTAGCCTCAGGTCCACATTCCATATTTTAGCACCCGGCAGACAGCACATCCTTCTGTTCTCTGGATCAGCTCTGGTTACAGGCCTGTCTATTCGTTTTAATAAGGAGTCCCCAATCATGTAGACCTGCCTTTACCTGGTGATGGTGCGATTCTCTGGTCTATCCCCTGTTCCCTCTGGCTGCAAGTCCTCTCGATTCCTATTCACCCTTGCAATCCTCTGCAACCCATCCTGTATCCTCCTGGGGCTCATATTTGGTGTTGTTATCTCCATTGACTCTTCCCCTCTTCCTATAGAACTAGCTGCTCTTCTCTTCTTCCTTGCCCTCTCACCTTCAGTGACCACCTGCTGTGCCCCTTCATCATTTTCCAACTCCGCAAACCTGTTCCTTAGCTCTATTTCTCCTTCACTAGCCCGTCTTTTCCTCTGCCTTGTTCTCTTAGTCACATGCCTCCACTGTCCACTTTCCTCACCCAGCAGTCTCCCCTCAGAGTTCTTTGGTCCTGCTTCCATTTGCAAGTCTGAGCTTTCCCCTTCAGCCTCTTCATGTCTTTGCTCCATCATCTTTTCGAACCCCCTTCTAAACTCAACCAGAGTTTCCACTTGCATCTCCAATCCTCGGATTTTTTCTTCCATCAGCTCTATCAGGCGGCACTTCATGCAGACAAAACTCTTTTCAGGTACCCCCTCCAGGATCATGTACATGCCGCAGCTTGCACATCCAGTCATCTTCATTGTGTCTTCCACTGCTTGGGTCACTACCACTGCTGCCTCTGTATCTGTCATAGCCTTCCCACCTAAATCCTGTTAGTCTGGGAAACACAAACCAAAACAAACCCCCAACGAGCACCACAACACTGCCAGAACACCCCACACTCCCTTCACTAGCCTGTGTTTTCCTCTGCCTGGTTCTCCTAGTCTTCCACCCCCAAACTCCCCTCCAACAGAACTCCCACTCAAACTCCCCTGTTTACAGCTCTGTTTGCTGGCTCTGGTGCCGCTGCAGCTGTCTGTGATTAATAGCAATAATAAGCCTTATTTGTGAATTAGTATCACCTTTAATATTAAAGATATAGCATATTGTTCTGTATTACAGAAAGATCTTGATGTTCAATATAACAAAATTTGCAAAGTTTGCTTTATATACAATAAACATAGCATACACACATGTGGTTCAATTAACTAGTAATTATTAGATCCTATAATCTAAGAGATTTAACTCTGTGACTTTGCTTAAATAGCAATGCAGGCCTTAATTATAGCATTTTTTTCAGCATGTGTATCAAAGGCAATAAACAAAACTAATCATATACTCCAAATTAAATTTGGAAATGAAACTTAGTGTAATGATGATCTTATGACTAAAGTATAGTGTTTCTTGTGTGACCTCCGGCAAGTAATTTAATATAACTCCCTCAGTCTCCCCACCTGTAGAGTGTGGAAAATACTTTCCTATTTCATCAGGGTGAGATGAGACTGAATTCATTCATGTTCTAAAACATTTTAAGGTCCTTGGAAGGAAGTAACTAGAGAAATACGAACCATTATTATTACTTGTACTTCTAGTATACTAAAATATATTACTTCAGAATTTTTTTATTTAGTTGATATTGCTTTATTCGTCACTTCGGTACTTGGCAAAGCTGAATATGTCTCAGGAAAATCCTAATATAGCTCCAGAAAATAGCAGTCATCACTGCTGTTTTGGTCTGTAGGCTAAACTTTCCTGGAGACATCCCAAAAAATCAGATGTGCCAATGAAGGCTTGGATTTAGGAAAGCACGTATGTCTGTCTTAAGTTGTTGCTTAAGTCTGTCCTCATTCAGCAAGGCACTTAAACACATACTCAAGTCCCATTACAGTTAATGGGGCCTCAGTGGATTGGAGCCTCAATGGATTCTATTGGGAAACCAGATTTCAAATAGTAGAAAGCTTCATCTTTCACAAGGAAGCACATAATGGGCTGATCCTGTTCCTATTGAAACTTATGAGAGTTTTGCCAATGACTTTATTGGGTGCCGGATCAGTCCCCATATGATCCTCCGTAACGATGGCAGGAGTCACTTACATCGGGGGAGGGATAGCTCAGTGGTTTGAGCATTGGCCTGCTAAACCCAGGGTTGTGAGTTCAATCCTTGAGGGGGCCATTTGGGGATTTAGTTGGGGATTGATCCTGCTTTGAGCAGGGGGTTGGACTAGATGATCTCCTGAGGTCCCTTCCAACCCTAATAATCTATGATTCTATGATTCTATGACATGGCTTACTACGTTGTTTTCCCTGGGAACTAAATCTGTATTCTCCGTGGGGGTCCATGACACGTCAGCCAGATATTTTGCTTCAGAATGGAGCCTCTTATTCTGAAGGTGAATATTCTATGTATCGTCGATATATTTTGCAGGTATTATTGACAGCACGCAGGTGGAGCAGAGGCAGGTTGTTGCAGTGACTGGTGATGGAACCAATGATGGACCAGCACTTAAAAAAGCCGATGTTGGCTTTGCAATGGTATGACCCTGAACATAGACAATTGTCACTTTATTTGCATCATAGATTTGCTTAAAGGGAGTTTTTCTGTTTATATAACACATGAAGTGAAATGGTCCAGTGATTGTTCATTTAGTGAAGCGAGAAGCATGTGGAAAAGTTTCTGTTTTCTGGAAATGGCTGTAATCAGTACGTCAACAGTTTTAATGCAGTTTCAGAATCCACTATTACACATTGTGATAAACAGAGGAGTTTCGCTTGGCTGATTTTTGGAAGAATCTTCTCAAAATAAATATTGAAAATATGCAGAATGTGGATGCTAGTAGAGGAAAGTGCATTCAGTGTTCTGCGTGATAGCAAGGTGGAGCAGGAAGAACACTCTCCAATTTAATAAGACATTATTTTGACTTGGTAAAAATCCACCCCCAAATACAATTTACTAGTCCCCCAACATTTTGTGGCACTACTGCAACAGCATCTGAAAACATAAGAAATTGACGGCATAATAGATGCTGAATTCAATTTGAGCTGTGCAATTCCAGTTTGTACTGGCAATTCTATATATGCATATTTTAAAAAAAAACATCAGAACTCCAGTGACACATGGATGTTCGCTTCCTTATTCAGCATCAGTTGCTATCATAAAATACTCAAATAGCTCATCACAAGGTGTTCCCTTGCTCTCTATCGGCATACACCAACAAACCTATTATCCAACATGTCCAAGACACTGCATGTACTCACCAAATATTATTTCTTCATTCTGTGGTCAAAGCATAAATGTGCAGTGGGAAGGGATGTCCAAAGATCTGTTTTCTAACTACTGCTTTTTCTTTCCCATAACTAATTTTTATTATAATTTTCTGCACATTTTTTCCAGGGTATTGCGGGTACTGATGTTGCAAAGGAAGCCTCAGATATTATCTTGACGGATGATAATTTCAGTAGCATTGTGAAGGCTGTAATGTGGGGCCGTAACGTCTATGATAGCATCTCCAAGTTCCTACAGTTCCAACTTACTGTTAACGTTGTGGCTGTGATTGTGGCTTTCACTGGGGCATGTATTACACAGGTAAGCTGAGTCGCAGAGATGACATGAAGCAGGGATACTGGACTGCTTGATAATCCAAAGAGCCAAATACTCAATTTCAACAGATGCTTTCAACTGGTCACCATTATATTCTTAATTTCTACAGTATTGTTAGCATGCATTTTTTTCTGGGTAATAAGTTTGGGAATCATTAGTTACATGTCAGAGTTACATCTGGAATCATGCATTTTATCAGTCATACAGATATTCCCAGAAGTATTACTTTTGATTGGACTGCGATTGCTGGCACATTCAAGATGGCAGCACTGTCATTTAGAAGTAATCCAGACAGGGAAACTTTCAACTAAAAATAAAGGAAACATTTTGGTGCTTTGTATTTTCTGATTCAAATAACTAAAAACAAAAAAAAATCAGACACAGAAATGTCTTTCTGACTAATTTTTTCCCCAGAATAATCTGTTCTAATTGCTAATATCACTATTCTCATTTACATCTTATTTTAGCAACCTTGTTGAACCTTATCCGTTGTGAGAAATGGAGCAAAAATCAACAGCTTTGTGCTATTCAGCAATAGGGTGACCAGACAGCAAGTGTGAAAAATTGGGATGGGGGTGAGGGTTAAGAGGTGCCTATATAAGACAAAACCCCAAATATTGGGACTGTCCCTATGATATTGGGACATCTGGTCACCCTATTCAGCAAAGTACTTGTCACTTGCTCAGATACCCTGCCTAACTTTTCTACTCACCCTTTAAAAGGACCAAGACATCTGATGTGTTTTAAATGTTTGTTTTCTGTGCCTCTCCTCCTCCTCCTCCTCCTCACAGCAGAGATCTACATATTCATAGGTGTGTTAATGGCTGTGTTTGGAAGATCTCTAAGCATAAATCAGGTTTCAAAGCCTGGGCTCCAGCCCAAGTGGGAATGAGTCAGTTGACCATGCTGCGGGTTCTGGTTTTTTTGCCACGTAGATGTACCCTAAGATGCAGCCCTAGCCACAACTAACATGCAAGGCTACGTATGTACCTATCTCACCAAACACACACAAAAAAAGCCAAACCAAAGTGAACGCTGCTTCACTTCAACATCACCACTTTTTCATAAGCATACCTCCTTTTGATTGTCTCATTTTGTTCAGCAAGGGGCAGGGGAGTGTGTATAACTAGTGGAGCATGCAGGTTTTCTTCCTCCAATATTAAAAAGCAAAGGACATTGCTGCAGCCTTTACACCACATCCCTAAAATAACAATGCTCAAGAACGGCATATACTGGAGAAGGGGTGCTGTTACAAACACCTAAGCCGGATAGAAGAAATGCACACCTGTGAGAACGTCGCAGCTCCCCTTACTGTCCATTACACAAATGTACATGTCTGTCACTACAGGTAAATTCCATCTCTGACACACACACCTATGAGCAAAGCAATGAATAAGTCATTAGCTACACTTCAGGAGTACGCTTACATTGCAGTCATGGAATCGTTATGTGAAACTTGAGACCTGGTCTCTCCATTAAGCCGAGAGGTTAAGCTCCTTTCAACTTATTCTTCTGAATTCTCGGGTCTCAGTTGTACTTGGCAAGGTGTGGAAAGATCTCAAGTCATCCCCACTGGCCCTGGTGAGCACCTTCACAGGGACTGGACACAACTGTGTTCATTTGGCTCCTCTGGGCACAAGGACTGTGTGATCATAGGGCCATTCACCAGAGGAAACAGGAATGACTTTAAAGGAGCCAGTGGAAATTACCTTAGTCAGGTGAAATGCCTGTTGTATCCTGTCAAAGGGAAGCAAAGTAGCAACAGTCTCCTTGCTCTCCTGCCAAATGCTGGTGCACCTCCGTATTCATCCCTACTTTGGGTATGCCTTATAGGCACAATTGATCCTATGGACGGGTGGGAGGAAGGGAAATATTGTGGATGGGGAGGAGGCAGAGATTAGGTGACGGCCTTTTCCCTTCAGGAATATTTCAAAGCATATTGAGAGAATATTTAGCATTAAGGGATAATGGCTGGTACCTAAAGAGAAGAGGAAAATACAATCATTATAGAAAACAAATGATTATAGCATCATGTTGCTGATGCTGTGGTTGAAGTTGAGGTGGCCATTTCCTTTTAAATCCCTATTTTCAGTCATTCGGTCATTACTTCCCCTCCTTCCCCAAAACAGTTTTTGTAGGATTAAATTTCTCATGCTTGGTCTCCAGCAATTTTCAATTACTTTGTGAGCTTGAAAGAAAATGTAACCCACTTCTTAAATAATGTTGTTCCTTTTTGTTCTTGGATAACTCAAACATAATTGTGTGGGTAGTTAATTTGTTGTGTTTGAAAATAGATTTTTTTTCAAATAAACAAATGACTAATGTTTGAAAATTGTGCACAGAGCATGCTCTGTGATTGTTTCCCCCCCCCCACCAGTCCAAGAACTCTGTTCAACTTCCATTGAAGACATTGGGAGAGTTTTCGTTGGCTTCCAACAGGAATTGAACCAGGCCCTAAAAATACATAATGAAGAACAGTTTTGCCCAAGTGATCTGTAACTAAAATCTTCCCTGCTCCTTCATTCTCATTTCCCACAGTTATATACTTTTGAATGTGCAACCATTCTGTTAAAAATAAACTCATCTCCCAAGGTTAATACATTTTTATCAAAATAAATCTATATGAAATTGTTTAGTTCTACAATAAAATAGCAAACCCCAAGAGAGAGAAATTAAAAACATAGATTAGAAATTGTTGCAAATATACTGCAGTTGATTTGAGATGTGGCCATGTTTACACTTAACTTCCTGATTCCTGACAATCTGAAGCAGCTTTTATTTCCATCTCATGCAACAAGGAACTTGCCTGAAGAAGCTACATTTTTATGTTGACTTTCAGACTCAAAGTTTCTATTCTGTGAAAGAGCATTATGTGTGTTTGCCTCTTATAACTGAAATATTACCAAAAATTGCGTTAGGGAACATACTGTACCCTCTGGTTATTATAAAAATAGCTCTGATACAAAATGTATGACCGTATTGAAAAATCTTAAGTACAGTAGCCAGGTTGCACATTTATAGGTACAACTAAAACTTTACACTAGTCTTAAAATATTAATTTGACTGAAATATTTAAATTCTTATTAACAGATAAAGATAACTAAAAACCATTGTTTTCAAAACACAAGCATAGCTTTCAGTGACCTTGACAAGGGCTTGCCTATACAGCAAACATTTCCTACACATTTTACTCTGTTTTACACAGATATTTTGTCCCTGCTGTACATACAGAATATAATTGTATTCTTAGGTTAACATTCGGGTTTATGGTAATAAGTTACTTTCCATAATATTTCATCTGATCTAGAATGAGAAAACTGATAATTAGACACTGGTGTCTCTTTTGCACTATTTTTCTCTCTCATAAAATTCCCTGCAATTCAGCACTTCCACACAAGATTACAAATGTCGATGTCTGAGTATGAAAGATTTTGGTTTTGATTTAACTCAGGGCTTTTGGCATTTCTGTTTAAAGAAGGCATAGACAAGATGAATCCCCATATTAATTAATTTTCTATCATTCAGCATGTAGCCTGCAGCCATATGGCTTTGGGCTTATTAGATCCAATAAATGACCTATAAGCATTGATCCGGCAATTGCATCTGCACTGCACAGGTAGTAGACTCTTATCCCCATGGAGTCCCAGTGATGTCAATGGGGCTACAAATTGATACAAAGGTCCAACTGTAGGATAGTAGTCATGGACAGCAATTAAATGAGACTTTATAGGAGCATTGAGGTGCTGCAGGAGATGATGCATAATAGATAGCATTCTTCTCTTGAATACGAAACAAATGCCTTGGTAAGTCAGAAAAGAAAACTCTAGTGCCAAAAGAGTCTTTCAGATGATGCAAAATGGAGGTCCTGACCACTTGCCATCATTACAAGCATTCCCCCACTTTTCAATCAAGCTACCAAAATAATCTCTTCATTGGCTCAGCCACACCCCTCCTGGGGGCTGGATTTATTAACGTAACAAAATATTTCCCAAATTTAAGTTCTCAAATCTCCAGCAGGTCTGTACTCCTCATCTTTTCCCACTGGGGGAGTGTCTGCCTGGGGCGTTTTCCCTGAAGACTCACTCCCAGCAGCCATTCCCTGCCTTGGCCTCTGCTGAAGTCTCTCATTCTAATTTCACTCTGATTTTCTCCTTCCCTTGCTCCCCTCTCTGCAGCTTCCTGTTGCTCTTTATGGAGGAATCAGATTCTCTGTATCTCACTGGTTCTGGTAATTAAACCCCAAACCCCATCCCAAGAGTGGCAGGCAAGACTAATTGGATGGGGATAGCTGTCTTGAGGTCTCTGGTCCGTATAGGGCATGCCACTCTATTACACCTCCCTTTCAAGTTTGTTTATTCCTTGCCTCATTCACTGTGGACTGTCCAGCCTGCGCTTTAAGTGTGGTTGGCATCTGGACGCACCGTGGCTAATTTACTACACACCATCCTTTCTGCGCATCCAGATCTACTTTGTTAAACTAAAGCTACTGATTTCAGTAAAGTAATGAGGTCCAGACTCATACGTCCTCATCTCATTCTCCGGACACCAGGTGTAGAGGCCTTGGCTCATTCAGTGTACAGCTTTCTCAGTGAGCAAGAGATTCTTGTGAAGCCCTGCCTGAAACACTATGAACTGTTGTGCACTGAACGAGACAGGTAGAGCCAGCTCCAAGTTTTTTGCCACCCCAAGCAAAAAAAAGTCCCGTGCCCCCCGGCCCTGCCTCAACTCCGCCCCTTCCCCGCCCCATTCCAACCCCTTCCCCAAATCCCTGGTCCCGCCTCCTCCCCTGGGTGCGCCGCATTTCCCCTCCTACCCCTCCCTCCCGTCCCAGGCAAGAGATGGCGGGCTTGGGGGAGCAGGTGGCAATGGAGCAGAGGTGAGCTGGGGGGGGGAGCGGTTCCTCAGCCCCCCCGGGTTACTTCATGTGGCCCTTCCCGCACCCCCGACCGCCGCAGCTCACCTCCGCTCCGCCCACTCCCCTGAGCGCGCCGCCACTGCTCCGCTTCTCTCCCCTCCCTCCCAGGCTTGCCACAAAACAGCTGATTCACACGGCAAGCCTGGGAGGGAGGGGGCAGAAGCGGAGTGGCGTTGCGCTCGGGGGAGCAGGTGGCAGTGGAGTGGAGGTGAGCTGGGGGGAGAGAGACCGGTTCCTCTGCCCCCCCCCCGGGTTACTTCCTGCGGCACTCCCCGCACACCCCACTGCCGCAGCTCACCTCCACTCAGGGCCGGCTCCCGGCTTTTTGCACCCCAAGGTGGGGGGGGGGAAAAGGAGCTGGAGTGCCGCCCCTTGTTAATTGCCCCCCCAAGCACATGCTTGGAGTGCTGGTGCCTAGAGCCGGCCCTGGAGACAGGACTCCATACTCTCATTTATCCCATGGAATTCCATACATCCCTTCCAAGACCCAAAATTTCATGCAACTTACTTACCTAGGCAAATACAGTGGCAAGAAAACACTGGGACATTATTTTTTTTAATTATTAAAAAAATCTGTTCATGCACGAAATAATCTTTAAATACACCTCAGGCAAATCAAAACAGAATTTTACTGGAGCAACATAAGGCAAATGTCCAAGCTAAGGTGTATCTCTGTGCCAAATTCTAGTTCTACCTCAAATAGTTGAGGCTTTGTGGTTGTTTGTAAAAGGTTACATTTAAAAAAAAATGCAAAGGAGTATATTTTAAACACTTCATACTCAAAAATTAATGAGTTTTACTTGGATTTTAAAACAGAATACATATTTTGGCAGAGCCTTAGCCTTGAAAGTCTTAGCTGAAAAGGCTAAACATTTGGCAAAAATTAAAAGTACTTGAAAAAGCACTTTAAAAATGATGCACTATCTTAAGTACAGCTGTCACTATACACTTCAACTCCTGAATAATGAGGATGAAAGATACTTCAGAAATTTATAAGGTATTACTTTGCATGTTACTTAGTGTTGATACACTCTAGCATTCTAAACAGCAGCATTTGACAAATCCTAACAATTTAGGAGTCTTCTGTGCTTTTGGTTAATAATACTGCACAGTAAATAGAATTAGACTGTACTGATCACCTGAAGGTTGGAAGTAAATATCATGAAGTATGCAAGTAGAATTTAACGGACTGGGCAGCTTCTGTTAAACTTATATCTAATAGGACTAGCAGCAAAAATGTTTGTACCTAGAGAATGTTTCAAAAGTTTTGCAGAAAAGCCTCTTTAATGGGACTGTGGCTAATGTAGGCAAGTGTTTGTGTGTGCTGAGCGACAAATGGGAATTAAAAGGTAAGGATAACAACACCTTTCTATCCCCTTACAGCTTGTCATCTTAACTCAAAAATAACAAGCTCTAAAATTTGTGAGGCTGTATGTGTCACAATAGATTTGTGGTTTATTGCCAGCCTCTTGTGATTTGTACTTTAAGTGTTTTCCAAGATAAAGTGTAAAATCATTTGATATGAGAGACTTTTACCTTTAGGCAAATAGTAACCTTTTCCAAGGTCAAATGGAAAAGAACTTGACAAGTAAGTGGTGATCTCAGGTGGATCGCAATGTGAACATCTTTCCTCCCAACAATCGTTGGAGGCTACATGATGATGTATTATTTTGAACTTCACCTACGAGATCAAAGGATTCTTTGGCCATTTAGTCAGTGGCCAGAGACTGCCAAAAGAACATTAAGCTTGAATGCCACTTACCTGTTCTAGTGCTGCATAGAGTCAGAACAAGACTAAAAACTATAATGGAAGACTAAACTCCATGTCTGATAGACATTTTCTTTAGTTTCCACTAACTAATCAAAAACCAGGTAGAGTTGCAGTGGAAATTTCATGACACTGGCTGCTCAAACTAACATGCGTTAATGTTTGGACTTGGGCTTAGAACGAGGTTTTACACTTGATTGAGCTGTGCAGCACTGCAGATAATTGGTAATTATTAGAGGCAGTTTAGGAACTCAGGGTGATTGGCACAGTGAACTGGTGAGAACGTGTTGCTGCCCAAGCTGATGACGTCTGGTTACACTTGTGTGAAGATGGGTCAAAGAGAGGAACTACCTGTAACATTATTCATAGGAATATCTGAGGCCTTGGCTATTGCCCACATGACTGTTTATTATGAATAATGTACAGATGTAATTTTCGTTGATGTGGGGATGAACACTTGAGGCAGCAATCCAGCTTCTAAAGTTATCTCCAAACAGAAAATACTTGTGCAGCGCTCTTGTTAACCATACAAAATGTGAAAATAGGATGAGGCAAATTCTTCAGTAAAAACCTGATTGTGTTTCTCCCTTTCTATGTATATTAGGTACCTCAGCACTAGGAGTCTGTAAGCCATGATGGTGAAATCTTAGCATAAGGTCACCACTGCTTTGGGCCATTCCACGTTGGTAAAACCACAAAATCTGGGACCTAGTTAATCCTACTTATCCTTTGTTTAACTTTACACCCCCATCCCTAAAATACAGGCACTTCCTATTGCTGGAGCTGCATATCAGCTGGCTAAACTGATTTCTCCTCCTGATAAGCCCAGTTAATGCTGCCCATGGCCAGGAAGTCAAGAATCTTGACTAATCTTGGCTAATCCCTCTCTGCTCCCTAGCATGCCCAACTTGTGCCAAAGCAGTAGATTGCCTCCCCCTCCCCTACCCTCCCCCACGCCTCGAGTAGGCCAAACCTCAACATTGTTTTTTAAATACAGTCTGCAACAAAAGAATTTTTTAAATGCACGTTTATTTATTTGCAGGAAAATGAATGTATTGTGTCCCCAGTGAGATCAAGACTAATTTCAAGCCAACACAGAGAGCAAAACATTTACAGTTTGTCTCCAAGTGCTGTCTTTAACAGCAATTGCTCCTTGGTATTGAAACTGATATAAAAGCTTGAGAAGGCTTCATTAAAAATAAACATTTACATCTCTCAAGAAAAGTGCAGGTTTCAAACAAGTGTTTTTAATGGTATTTATTTTAGTCTGTAAATTATTCTGACACTCCTTTGTCTCACCTATGCACAATGGTAAAAATATATGGTGCATAACGACAATACTGTGATCTTCAAACTTTCACACTGTAAGTCAATGGTTCTCAAATTTTTGTATTGGTGACTCCTTTCACACAGCAAGCCTCTGAATGCGACCCCCACTTATAAATTAAAAACACATTTTAAAATATTTAACACTATTATAAATGCTGGAGGTGAAGTGGTTTTGGGGTGGAGGCTGACAGCTCTCGACCCCCCCCATGTAATAACCTCCCAACCCCCTGAGGGGTCCCAGCCCCCAGTTTGAGAACCCCTGCGTAAGTTATCCCTGTTATGTGATAAAATGTCAGAGTGTTATCTCATATTATTTTTGAGAATTCTCTTACCCATCCCTGATATGAATAAAGTACCTCTCTCTCTCTGAGTCTGAAAATAGATTTCACTAATGATATCTATTTCAGATTCACACTAAAGGCACAGGAACTAGAATTATTCATATGTGTTCCAAGAAAAAAAATCTACCTCTTTCTTCCTTGCTATGGCTCTTAGAAGCAAACACAATTACATGTCATTACAATTGGTCCAGTGAGGTACAGTTACTGAGAACGGATCATTAGCCAAACTGCAATTTAATATATATTTCTTTTTGTCATTTACTTTTCACCTGAGAGCTGTATTAGGTTTTTTGTTGGTTGGTTTGTTTGTAATGTGATCTAAAGCCCTATATGGTGTGACCTTAGGCTGTCTCCATCTTGGATTAAATGAGCAAATAGCTCCTTCTAGTGGTTGCTAATCTAGTTTGGAAAATAAATACCGAATCCTACCAAAATCTATTAACACTTTGGTAGTAATGCTGATGTTTGGGTGTCCTGTGAATATTTTTTGATGAAGAGCATGAACATTCTGCTTCATAGTTCCTAATGACTCTTCCTGTGATGAATCAGTCTTCTCTTTCCCTACTTGCTTTTAATAGGATGTTGAGTACATTCAGTTCAAATCTGAGCTGTATAACATAGTTTATTTCTGTGTTTAAAAATAAAATAAACTATAAAATTTGAATTTATGAAAATCTCACATTGAAATGTTCCAAGATTTTGATCAATTTCAGGCAACACAATGTGTGTACTACAGCAAATTGTAGACATAACTTAGATATAAATTCACATTAAACTTGATAATATTTTAAATTGTTTTAATATAGGTTTTTTTCTGTCCCCACCCAGGAAAACATATTTTCTGATAGTCTTTAATATTTAGTCACCCAAACCTGACTTCTAAACAATTTAAAAACAATCCATGGGGTAAGGTGCTATGGTACATTGTATAATCAAATTATTCAGATGGGATTAATGTGATGCTAAATAAGGTGTCTGGATGCAAATGCTGCTGGCTGAAATGATTGGCGATAAATCTGATTGTTCATCTTTGCTCAGCTCCATACCCTTTCTGCTATTACTGCCTCGCAATAGCACAATAAGACATTGAGTGTGAAAGGAAGAAATGGTGGAGACAATGATCATTTTAGCAAACCAAAACAAAGAAACACATTATATTTTATTTTGTCTCCTAAGGACTCTCCACTGAAAGCTGTGCAGATGCTGTGGGTCAATCTAATTATGGACACCTTTGCTTCTCTTGCTCTGGCCACTGAACCCCCTACAGAGTCTCTACTGCTAAGGAGACCATATGGCAGAAACAAGCCTCTTATATCACGTACCATGATGAAGAACATTCTGGGCCATGCTGTCTACCAGCTAATTCTCATTTTTACGCTTCTCTTCGTTGGTAAGATAAACAAAACATATTTTTGTTCACTTTAGGTCTCTGCTGTAGCTTGCTGTACTGATTATTCCAAAGTACCAAACATTTGCATTAAGCTTTAGTCAGGGCTCACCCGAGACATGCCCAAGGTGTTGAGCCATGCGGTGGGACCAAAACAGATAAGGGGAGATGGAACAGCCCCATTTGGAGGGTGATGGGATGTAAGGGGTCATTCTGGAACTTTTCATATCTTCTTGGTAAAAATGTGGGATTTGCTTAATCTACCTTTTTGGAATATTAAGAAAAGTGTAGGTTCAAGGCATTGGGAAAGGTTTAGGTCAGTATGGGTGTTAACCAAACTGGTCAGTCTGTTTCTAAGCTCAAATTTCAAGCCTTGTCCTCTTCACTAGGAAACTTAATATTTTATTTCTGTTGAATCTGAAATGTACAGATTCAAGTTATGCTGGTACAAAAAGCCACTTCAATTTGGGAACTGACAATATTGTTCAGTGTTCTTCCATGATAAATGCTATTGTCTGGATAATCTAGACAAACAAGCGAGTAATTAGAATCTGTTTAGACCAGACAATAGACTCCATTCTGGGATTTAACACCTGTGACTGTTGGAAGGAAAAAAATTGGCTAATTTATTATTTCAGCCCTCTAACCGTGGTCTTACACTAATTCAGGTTTTACTGATGGTGAATGCTTTTCTTCTAGAATGGGGTCTTTGGGGACATGAGATATAGGGGAGAAAAGGACCGTTTTTCATTGCAAGGAATAACCCAGGAAGAATAATAGCCACTCTTCCTCTATGTCAATTAGTGCATTTGTTCAAGAGGCTGATGATAATAATTAACACTTGGGGCTCATGTACTGTGTTCATGACAATATGTCATAAGAATGGCCATACTGGGTCAGACCAGTGGTCCGTCTAGCCCAGTATCCTGTCATCTGACAGTGGCCGATGCCAGATGCTTCAAAGGGAAAGAACAGAACAGAGCAATTGAGTGATCAATCCCCTGTCGTCCACTCCCAGCATCTGTCAGTTAGAGACTTATGGACACCCAGAGCATGGGGTTGTATCTCTGACTTTCCTGGCTAATAGCCATTGAGGGACCTATCCTCCATGAACTTGTCTAATATTTTAACTGATGTTGATGGCCTGAAATCTATGTCTTTGTAATACATAATTTGTAATTACAGGCTATGTAATACACTCCCTAGTAAGTTGTTATGAATGTACATTCATATATGTACAAGCCTTAGGAGGGCCAGGCTCCTCCCTGCAGCTATGAGCCTATTTTGGATGCTAGGGGGGCTGACAAGCCTGTTAAAGCAAAGGAGCGGCCTACAATGAGCCTGATAAGTTTCTGAGGTTGGGGTGAGAAGGGGAGATGTCCCCCAACTAGTACCTAATGTTTGCAGGAGGATTCTGATGGCCCCTAGAAAGCCTAATAAGCGTGTCAGCCTATGACTATCTAAACTATGCACATGAGCCTTCATAATAGGTACATCTGAAAGTCAAACATCCTGTATGCTTTATGGGAGTTATAGGTGGCCCTCCAGTGAGCCTCCCAAGGCTGAGAGAAGGACCCCTCTTGAAGGCCTGCAGGAGAGAAGAACCTTTGCCCCCCACACATAGTGAGCCTCAGGAGGCTCTCCAGTCCCCTTCACATTTCTGAGGAGGCGTACAGCCCACCCCATTTCCTGAGAGCCTTAGGAAATGCAGCAGTAGGCTCCCTTGGGAGCTTCAGGAGGCTCAGCTGTATCCTACATGGTAAAAAGAAAATGTGCTTCTTTCCTTTCCAATAAGCTTCCTAGCAATCAGATTAACAATTTGGTAAAGATAAGGTAAAGGGCTAGATACTTTTTTTTAGTGAAATCTTAGGAATCATTTGATATGCTATACTAAGTTTCCCAGGGCCAGTAATCTACAGTTCCAGATTCATAAGCTAACTGTTTAAACTGGACTCTGATCAACGATCTTCTGTACAAGAGTTCAGCAAATCAAATTCCTTCTCTCTCTCCTCCTCCTTTCCCTTTGCTGCTATAAGTTGGCAATAAATATGTTACACGTGTGTTTGAACACGGATTGCCTCTATTTTTAGAGTGTCATAAATCTAGAAGCCATTGTCCTGTTCAGTTAAACTGCTGCACAGAAAAATTTTATCTTGGTCCCAGGCCTGACCTACCAAATTTTAAAGCTGGTATGTTTCTAGTGGCCTTGGGAGAAGAGTGGGCAATGGAAACTTAGATGCAACCTTATCTACTTCTATTCCATGGTAGCAGCAGGTCCTGTTTTTGGAATGAAGTAATGCAGTGAAATGGAATTTTTGAAGATTTAATTATGGATAATCCTGTCAAGGAAAAAATTCAATCAGATTTAAGCATAAATCCATTTGCCTTTCATAATGGTCTTCATTATTTGGTTTGAAGTCTTTGGTAATGATTATACATATCCATGTAATCTGTGTTTAAAAGTCTCAGCTCTATCTTCAGCATCACACCCGTAGTAAAGTTATAATGCTACATTTATGTTATCACAACTTTTTTAAGTCAAAAGACTATAGGCCAAAGTCTTCCTTTGGATGCATGCACACAGTTCCCATTGATTTTCACTGGAGCTGCTCAAACATCAAAGGCAAAGTTCAGTTCTCTCATGACTCTACTGATAGAATATGACCTTACTGCAGTTCTCTCAGATCTATAACTGTTTGTGAGGTGGAAGCCTCTCATTCAAACAGTAACACCACTGAGAGCCTGGAAAAATATTGTCCAATGAATGATGTTTGGTATAAACAAATGTTTGTTAAAGTTTGCTGCAGAGCAAAATTCCCCCTTTACATTTATTTTATCTCTATTCTTTACTCATACAGATTAATGTTCTGCCCTTATTCTAAGGGTCTCTTTTTATATATAGATATACATGTGTTAAGAATTGTGACATGTATACATATAGTGAATAAGTAAAGTGGCCCTGTGTGTAGATGTATTTCCAAGTGTTATGTAACCTCTACAATTACTGTTCATGCTGTACAAAATGTTGCTTTTTTAATATTGACAATCAATTTTCAGTTATCTAAATAATAGTATGATCTCCTATTAGGTGCTTACAAAGTAGATTAACAGACAAATGGACAAAAACAAATCATTTTAAAATCGGGTGGTGGTAGCTGCTGTTCTTTTTAGTTAATATCCTTGAATACTTGTCAAGAATAATTAGAAAGTAATATGCAGAGACTGTTGAAGGATGGTTGCTGCTAATTGTTTTAGAAATGGCAAATGCAGTGTCAACAAGTCTCCAGCTCTGAGTAAATGAGATAAAAGAAATGACTCATTAGAGTCGTTCCTACCTGGTGGGAGAAAAAACCCTACCAAAAATCATTTGAGCTGGTACATTGAGTCACTGGATAATAGTCAACATTATGAAGCTTCACAGTGGGAATTCTGTATTTCTTTGCTCACTGAGTTGGGAACTATGCCTGCCTATGTAGTAATTGTGGAAGCAATGCTGCTAAAAAATAACAAAAACAAAACAACACAAGACCGAGGAGGCAGCCCATGAGCGGGAATGGCAATATAACATAAAGTCGAGGCTGAATTTTTGATAGCAGAAACAAACTTTTTTATTCTTTTTTGCATTAAGGTGAAAAAATGTTTAAGATTGACAGTGGTCGGAATGCACCACTCCACTCTCCTCCTTCTGAGCACTACACCATTATCTTCAATACCTTCGTCATGATGCAGCTATTCAATGAAATCAACGCACGCAAAATCCACGGCGAGAGGAATGTTTTTGATGGCATTTTTAGAAACCCTATATTTTGCACTATTGTACTGGGTACATTTGCTGTACAGGTAATCATTCATGCAAGAAATAGCAACTATTCATCAGAAATGTACAATTTTTCTGTCTTTGTTCTTTGGAAAATCAAATGCTTTTGTGGCCATGGTTGTCTCTTATCAATCCAAACGCTCATTCATCCTGTATCAGACCTATTCTGCTTTAATCAAAATAACTGCTTCTATCAGTAATGATAATTTAGAACACTTAATATTTACAAACCTAGTAAAAGCACGCTAAACAGAGTATAGTATGTTACTTTTTCACAAGAGCACTTATGGTTAAGATTTATAAGAAGTATGGTTAATTACAATGAGTAACTGATTTGTTGAAACAAGAAGTCTCATTATTTTCCATGGAGATTATTAATAGCATTATCATTAACCAATGGTAGCAAATAACTTTTTACACTTATTTACTACTATTGTCCATAGTAGGGATGAACAAGTTGGTTTGTTGTTAATGGGTGCAAGCATTGACCCATTTCCTTCATGTCAGCTGGGATCCAGAGGTCCATCAGATATCCCTAGAGCAGGGGTCGGCAACCTACAGCATGCGTGCCAAACATGGCACGCGAGCCGATTTTACGTGGCACACAGCTCCCTGCCACGGTCCCGGCCCCCAGCCCCACTCGGCCCCCCCGCCCACTGCTCTCCCCTGCGGGGGCAGGAGGCAGAAGCTTGGTTCTGCGGCAGCCAAGCTTCCCCCCTTCCCCGTTCCTTCCCCCAGTGTGGTGCTTTCCTGCCCCTCCTCCTCTCCGTCCCTGCGCCAATCAGCTGATGGCCCTAGCGAGGGGGAGGGGGAAGAGTGGCAGCGTGCACACAGCTCTGTAGAGGACGCAAAGAGAGGTAGGGATGGAGCCTGGGGGAAGAGGGTGGAACAGGGCATATCCCTTCCAGCCCCCTGCTGTGAGCCGCTCAGGGCAGGGGGCTGGGAGCACCCCCACGAGCCGAGCACCCCAGCCTTCTGCCCTGAACCCCCACCCCACCCCAACACACACCCATCCCTCTGCCCTGAACCCCTCACACACTCAGCCTTCTGCCCTGAACCCCCCATTCCCTCAGCCTTCTGCCCTGAACCCCCCACACCCCAACACTCACCCAACCTTCTGCCCTGCACCCCCCACAGCCGCCAGCCCTCTGCCCTGATCTCTGAACCCCCCCCCCACACACATACACCCCATCCCTTTGCCCTGACCCCTGAAACACCCCGCCCCCCCAGGTCTGGGGTCCCGCCACAGGCCCTGATCAGACCTCTGCAGGCCTAGGTGAACAGAAACCCAGGCTGGCAGCGAGCTGAGCAGGCTCGTGGCGTAAGATCAGCATTTTAATTTAATTTTAAATGACGCTTCTTAAACATTTTGAAAACCTTGTTTACTTTACATACAATAGTTTAGTTATATAATATAGACTTATAGAAAGAGACCTTCTAAAAATGTTAAAATGTATTACCGGCACACGAAACCTTAAATTAGAGTGAATAAATGAAGACTCGGCACACCACTTCTGAAAGGTTGCCGACCCCTGCCCTAGAGTATTCTTCACTAATAGCCAAATCTATTTCATGCTGGGCTATCACTGCAGAAAACTTCTCTTTCCCCTGGTGTCATTCTTTTAGTCCCACATCAGCCATTCCGCTGTACAGTCCTAGGCCAAACATCACCTGGTAAGCCCTTTGTGGGGAATGCTGCAGCTACACAAAGTCACTAAGGGCCTGCTATTTAAAGATATTTAGGCACCTAAATATCTGGACAAATTGGAGAAATGGTCTGAGTTAAACAGGATGAAGTTT